TGGCTAGAACAGCGGCCTGCAGACTGAAGGGTCCCAGGTTTGATTCCAGTCAAGTGCACATGTCAGGGTTGAAGGCTCGATCCCCAATTGGGGGCATGGAGGCGGCGGCTGATAATGATTCTCTCATCATTGATGTTTCTATTTAACCTCTCCTTCTCCCTTTCTCTCTGAAATCAATAAAAATATATTTTAAACAAAGAAAAAAATAGATTACCATCTTATTGAAGGATGTAATCAAGAAAAAACCTTAAGTGTTGAGATTTTTCTCACACCCTGTTTTGAATTTGAAAAAAGTTGCATTTTAAACATTTCCTTACAAGAATTCCTGAATAATATCATGGAATAAAGGATAAGAAATCATGAGGACTAAATTGCCTAATATAAGTTATTGAATACATACATAATATATAAATATAAAAAGTGCTTTATAAACTATAAAGTGAAATATCAATGCTGGTATTTTTTTTAGCAGCATGATAATGCTGGTCTCTGAAATTTGGACTGCCTATTTCATAAATAATACCCTGTTTCTCTCTAGATGAAGTCTCATCATATCAAAACTGAAGAACAAAATTATACACTGTTAGTCATACCACTAAGTAATCAGCTCCCTTCAGAAGAATGTTTTGGCTTAATAATGAAAACATCAGTAAATGAAATTACTACCCACTGAGTTACTGTCACTCTAATGTTCTAAAACAGGCAAATTTCCTAGAATGAGAAACACAGCATTTTGAATGTTATTTCTTTTAACAAAATGGTTTTATTGATTTTAGAGAGGGAAGGAGAGGGGGAGAGAGAAACATTCATTGGTTGCCTCCTGCAAGCCCCCTACAGGGAATCAAGCCACAACCCGGCATATGCCTTGAATAGGAATTGAACTGGCGACCTCTTAGTGCAGGGTTGATGCTCAATCACCTGAGCCACACAGGCCAGGGCTAAATGTTAGTTCTTAAGAAAAAAATTTATAAGTGACATTCTTGATGTGAAAGGATCATCATTTCTCCTGCCATTTTTTCCTCCCTCTCCTCCTTCCCTTCTCACTTCTTCCCTCATTCCTTCCTCCCTCCTACCTTCTTTATTTTCTACCCCCCCTTTGCAAGTATGTTTAAATTACCAGCATTAAACATGAAATAGATTTTCCATTTGCTCTTATACCTCCGTGTACTCAATGAATAACATTTTATCTACCTCATCAAAACATCCTGTCAAGACTTGTTAAAATGGGATTTCACCCCCAAAGAAAAGTAACAGGAAAGTGCCTCATACTGAGTGTGCATGCAATAAACACTCCGTGTTAAAGTCTTTTGCCCACTAATGTCTTCTTCATTTATTCTGAAATTATGTCTAGAGTATATGTAAAACTGGCTATTTTATTTTATGGTCCTAAAACATAACTCATTCATGAATTGTTGGTTTAAAAAATAATTTCATGATTTTCCTATAGTCTCCTATATTTGTTATAGTAACTGATACATAATATTTTAGTGTTTCTGCTCATTCAGTTGAAGTTTTCAAATCATTTCATCATAATCCCTCTCCAAATAAAACATCAACAAGCCTTCTCCTTCAGTATTCAAGAAATGTCAGAGGACCTGAGTAAATATTTAAAAAGTCATCTGATACTTACAGGTAATAAGTTTCCAAATGTGTTTGATGAGGTCCACATAGATAGCAGGTGTTCCTACAGATATTAGTGAGAGGGAAAACCGAACCACTAATTAGTGCCTACTTGCACCAGGAGGGATGTGTTCTGAAATGTCATCAATTATGTTTAGCAAGATAAATTATTCAATGATCAGTGCAGGACACACAGGAACTTCTTAATATAGCTTGAAAATACTACATTTTCTTAAAACTCTTAGTTAAGTATGATGCTTGATCTCTTGTGAAGGAGACTTAGAATTCAGGATGCATTTGTTGCCTGTTTTGAAAAATATTATTTGGTCAGGATTGCTTTCTAAGTAAAGATCATTGATTCCTTGGGCCTCTGGTCATTTTCTTTGTGTATTAGAAATAATTAGTGTAGCCCTGGCCAGGTATCTCAGTTGGTTGATAAGATTATCATCCTGATACGCCAATGTTTCAGGTTTGATTCTCTGGTCAGAGCACATATAAGAATCAATCGCTGAATGCAAGGATAGATAAAATAATGGATGGATGGATCTCTCTCTCTCTCTCTCTCTCTCTCTCTCTCTCTCTCTCTCTTTCTCTTTCCTCTTCCCCATTTCCCCCGTCTCTAAAGTCAATAAATAAGAAGTTTGTTTTTTTAAAAAACATAGTGTATTTAGCCAGCATTAGTTACCCTGTCCCCCATCACTTAAGGGCCTGACATAACAGCTACTCCCCCAACCACAAATCAGTCCTAAGCAGAGTGTCAGGTTCCTCTTTATAGGCTTTTCAAAAAAGTTTATGTGAAAGTGACTAAACAATATTTAAATTTAAATCAGCAAACATCCCACTATGTTTGAGAACCCGAGTATCCATATTTTGTCGTTTTAATACCACATACAAAGCCATTTGCATGCATTAAGATAATAGAGGTTTAAATCAAAATGCAATTTCTTTCAGCACTTTAAAACTCTCCACACGTACCTCAAATATTGTTAGAGATGTGATAGTTATCTTCAAGACAATCAGGGATTAAGTGGGAGCTGAAGTATAGGTATCTATACTAATAAAAGCCTATGTGGTAGTCATGCCCTCACGCCGTAACAATCCATCAGCAGGAGGCTGCATGTGCAGCGGGTGCACGCGGGTGGGCAGGGCTGTGTGTGCGGAAAAGTGCGCACAGGTGGGCAGAGACTTGACGCTGCATGTGCGGTGTGGAGGTAGGTCCTGGCGGCTCCGTGTAGCGATGCCAGGGGTCCCACGACTCCACACTGTGATGCCAGGGTCCCGCGGCTCCAGGCTACCTCTTTGGGGCAATCCATTGAGGAGCTGAGAATGGATGGGCGGGGCCTACCTCTTTGGGGCAGTCAATCATGGGGTTCCTGCACTGTGAGAGGGCACAGACAAGATGCCCCAGTACGAGTATAAAAGAGAATGGCCACTCCTTCACTATCAGTCTTTTGGCTGCATGACTTTAGGTCAGTTTCTTAACCTCTCATTCCTTAGTATACTCATCTATAAAATGGGGATGATACTAAATCATAGGATCTGTAACTATTAAAGTATTTGTTACTACATGTAAAGTGTATAGAACAATACCAGCAATATAAGCACCATGTAAGGGAGGGCTCTGATGATTCTGTAAACACAGACTTGCCTTTTGTTTCTTCATTCATTATAGTTCCAATGGTTTCCAAAATGTAGTGTGCATAAGAGTTACTGTATGTGTTACGTGCAGTAATTTTCAAGAGTGGATTCCTGTGTGTGTATTCATTTGTTCCAACTCTGTAATATTTTATAGATATATAAGAGACTTCACTATATAAATAGCTCTGAACATAGAATATTGAATAGATAGGGTTTAAGCAGATACATTACTCTTCTCAGTTTATGCTAAACTCAGTTCTTCACTTCGCCAGAATGAGATGACTTTTCTATAATTCTCTCCTGTTAGTTCTTATTTTGCCTTTAAAGATTATTTTACTATTTCACGTAGAGTTAATGATTCTTATTTTTTTTTAGTTTGTTTCAGAATTGTAATGATTATATGTTCATGAGAATTAAAAGAATAGTGCCTGGAATACACTGGCATTTAATAACTAATAGGTCTTGTTATTTCACCATTATAATCGACTTATTAACTTTGTGATATGTATCAGGGTGCCATAGATTTTATTTCACCCAATTCTTTGACTATCGGCTTTTGCCAGCTATTGTTCTCAGTGGTGGGAACTACAGAAATGAACATGACTGAAGAGGTCCCTGCTCCCACAGAGTTGATATCATTATCTGATATGTGTATTAATAATGTTTCTAGGTTTTAATTTTTATTAGATCCTTTTAGAGTGTTTTAATATATCATTGACTAGGTTGTCATTGTTACAGCTTCATAGAGGATTTATCCTTTTCACTATGTTTTGCCCCTAACAGCTCTTTCAAGCATTTGATTGGAGGATTGGAGGATGTTTCTAATAAGGCATATGAGGATGCAGAAGCTAAAGCAAAGTAAGTGACATTGTTCCCTACTTTGGCCTTAATCTTGATTTAAAAAGTGATTTTGAGTAGAAATAAGATAAAATGTTTGGTTGGACTTAACCAAGTCCATCACTCTGACGGGAAGAAACGACGTAAGAAGAAAGAGAAGCAAACCATTCAAGGTAATTACTACATAGTATTCTTACTTTTGTATGGAATATTATCTCAACAAAGAAAATGGTTAGTTTAAAATTCAACATAAAAAATTGAGTGTAAACACATTATTTCTCCCACTGAAAATGCTTTCTGAATGAATGGTTGTTGTGTTCAATAGTTGTTTGTGGAATTGTATGAAAAATAATAAGGCTGGAAAATATTTTCCTGAGTGAATACATCATCGCTTTGCATTGAACTTGGGTGGCACTATTTTCAGAATGTTATGAGGGTAGTACATATCTCATTATTTTTCATTTTTGTAAAACAAAATACAATTTTCTCTACTAGAATAACTTGCTTTAAGACACAGATTTTTTTTTTTACAAATATTTGAAGTAATTTCACCTTGGCTTTTTCTGCAAAAATTATAGGTTACTTTTTAAAAATTGTGATCTGTATAATCTTTCCCTCTTTCCTGTGATGAAGTAATTTGAGTAAATATAATTTTGTATTTGATATCATACAGGAAACCTGAAAGATTAAGTCAACAAAATGTATCAGTAAATAGATAGTTCAGGGGCAGAATTTGATTAGTTGGTTTTGTGATAACCTAAAACCAAAAGAAATAAAATATTTTTTGTCTTGATAATATCTGAAGATGAAAAAAATTGGTCTAGTTCTAAAAAAAAGTCAAAGGTTGTGTTTTTTTTTTAACTTAAAGTATTCTTTGATCTACTTCTCTTTCCC